GCTTATATACATTTATTTATTTATTTCAGGCTACTAATGACCTATATAATAAACACCTTAAAGACACATACACATGATGTAGAAAATACATATATCGGCATAATATTAACATTGTAGTTTATATCATTATGTGTGATCGGCAACAATACAAAAAGATCGTAAGTTCAAGGAGGAAGAAAGAAGAAGTTCAAGAAGTTCAGGGAACAAAACACAAATTTTTATCTTCAACCCATTTTCATTGCTTTATCTCTTACAAAGCAAGCTCTTTGGCGGTTCAAATGTGGCAATACTATACTTCATATGAAGACGTCTGTGTTAGTTACCAGGATAAATTTATATGAAATCTATCCCGGGAAACTTCTTTGGACGCTGTATTTTAACTAAATGACCTACATGTGACAGTAATGCTGTATTATATACGGATGGGTATTTATGTTAGCTTGGAATTGGGTAACAACGAACATATTTGTTACTCTAAAATATAATTCATGTATATAACAAATTTTATAGGAATATTTGCAGTAGTTTTTAAGTGAAAGAGTAAAGTAAAAAACATTTGTACTAATCGTGTGTACTCATTATTTATTACTTTATTACCTCGAGAGTAGTAAATAGCTTTATTTTCCATAAAATTATTCGTATAGACCCCGCTTAATAATACTATAAACAGTGTTTACACATATCAGTATTATGAAATGGTGCTCTCGTCAGCGCTAACAGTATACGCTGGCACTAGTACAGGATGATATGATGAGAATCGAGTTATGTCTGCCGAAGAATTCATCAGTAAAGACGTAACCACGACGATTTCCAGTGGGGAACGCGTGAAGGTCGATCTGATAAGGTACAACAATTGCTTTCTTTTATACTATCAGTGAAGAAGAGACATCTACAAAGAGGATTTTACGAAATAAACGCGGAAATAAGTTTTTTTTTATTATATATATATATATATATATATATATATATATATATATATATATATTTGTACATTTGTATTGACCATGTAAATGCATAACATGCGGTTTTACGATCAGGAAAATCGTGTTCATTATGAGATAACGGTTTCCTCGTATTAATTAATTCATTAAAGCTATTAGTCAATAACAATTTTAACATTAAATGCATTACTTGTAGAGGGATGCAGGTACTCTTGACGATTGTACAATTCGTTTATGAATTGCCTGCTCGTTATTAGAGAAGTACTTATTTCCGAATGGGAGGGAGGCATATAATGACTGATACAGAATAATTGGACTATATGATGATTGCTGAGATCTTATTTCTTCTATCAGAATAGATTTATCGTACAATTATTTATTAAATAAATATTTATTTATTGACTTTGTCAAAGTCAAGTCGCCTGAAAGGCTACCTCTATATCACCCATCTTTTTGAATTATATTCCCGTTAGTAGAGTCAGTAATGTCAGTTAACATACAGGGTATACCTTGGTCCTCTAGAATAGGAACAATTTGATGACTTTACCTTTTTTTCGGACTACTCTAATGCTGTTGGCCGCAGCTGGCCTTTACAGCTTCACCGGCGAGTGCAAATGACATCCAAACCCGCAGAAGGAATTATGGAGCAGTTCAAGGCCAAATCTTGCCTGACCGATACGACTTTAGTCTGAGGGCACCGCTAAGAGCTCGAACTTCGGCTCGGGCCATCGTGGATCGTGACCGTGGACAGGTGATCGATCGCAGGGGGTGATCTTTTGCCACAGTTTGCCTACCATTATAAGTAACAAATACAAAAACAATAAACGAGGTTTCGTTTCATCACATCAGTGAAAGAAAATAAAAAACAAAGTAAAATCCCCAACATAATTAATATTATAAACATGGAAGTTTGTGAGTGTGGATGGTTGAAACCGAAGGATCAAAATATTTGTTACTCTTTCATGTAAAAACTACTAAATAGATTGTAATAAAACTTTACAATAATGTAGCTTATACATCAGAATAACACATAGGCTATACTAACTTTACGCGAGTAAAGTTAGTGAGCGAGTGTGAAGTGAATATGAACTTTTAGCAAGATACCCGATACCGATGGTATATTAATTTTAATAAAAGGCCCATTCATAATTTAAATCACATCTATTTCAGAATCTCCCCTTCCCTCCCCTCTCCCAATACCCCGCCCTTTTTCTTGTCTTACTACTTACTTACTACTTACTATTGGGTATTTGAATTCTATATTTTACACGAACTTTGTGACCTCTTGTAATACAACAAAATTTCTCAGAATTATGATATTACATATTATTACTATTACTCTTACGCATAAACAGAAAAATTAAGTATATTTTTTATTGTGCAGACCGAGAATGGGCCCTGAGGCGCCTTGTGGCACTCCGGATTGGGCCACACAAGACCAAGGGAACAATTGTATGAGAGTATAATTACTATATCAATAAATATACTTAATGCCTACCTATAATTACTTATACCAACTGTATACCTATATAGACTTTGTGCAACCCATTAACTCATCTATTTCATATATTTTGGTCTATAGCATTGCACTTATTGTACATTTAATTTAATATCTATAATACTCTAACAAATATGCATTTGAAACTATCGATACATTATTATGCCATATATTTATGACCTCTTGTTTTATTATACAAAAAAATAATATAAACCCAAAATAATGCAACATAAAAATTAAAAAAAAAACCAGTAAACACCAAAAATTATAATAATGACGAAACAGACACCGTGCGATCCATCAAAGTCGCAAATACGCAATTTTCACGTGACGTCACTTTTTCATAATATAGTTCAAATCATCTCAAAGATATGGTTTCGCGTTCCTATACGGAGAACCTAATAACCTACCAAATGAAGGGTTGTAAGCGGCTCGAATTTTAATGAAATATTTGATTTATGCTCAGCGAGAGCATCAGGTAGCTTATTATAAGAATATATCATTAAACATTACGTATATAATTAAATCCAAGCTTAGCCCGAAGCTACCCCAATTTGAGGCAGCGAGCCGCATTATAATTTTAATAAAATTGCCCGTTGTCCAATAAAAACAAAAAAGAAAATTATAACACATCTGATTGATGTATTATTTGGTAATTTATTGGCTGTAATTACATCGTGTAATAATGTCTGATAATACCGGAGTGGTGGAACGATTTATTAGTATTTATTAAAGTATGAATTATTGTATAATTACTGGCGTGGAAGCTTCCAAACTAAACATATACGTTGTTTTAGGGTTGAATTTATGAGCGATTCTCAGAGTCGATCTAATCGTGCTCGTTTGCGATGTAATACGGGCGCCTAGCGTTTCTCCAAAGATCGGTATATAATAGGTATCCATCTGCTTGTTTTGTGACCGCCTGCCGAAGTAGGGGACGGGTTAAATGCCGGATTTGTGGTATTGGGTGACATTTATGATGACAATGAATTACAATAGAAAAACGTTCACGCAATGTGATAAAAAAATCTAAAAATGAATTTATATCGACAAAACATTTCTATTATTACACAACCTGTCGAAGTATTTAGGTCGTATTTGGTTAACTTTAATTGATCAATTTAATCTTTACAAATGTTACGACTCTGTTCCGAAATAACTTAGTTTTTGCCGTAGGTATTTGCAATTTAATAAGCAATCTATCAATAAAATTGTCATAAATTAGGAATGTGTGCACGTGAATATAAATTCGTGCACGTAACACCCCTGGTGTCTCAGGCGTCCATAGCCTACGGTAAGCGTTTACCATCAGATTGGCCGTATGCTTGTTTGCCATTGTAGTATAAAAAGTACCTTGGATAAAAATATACTAAAATATGTGTTACTTCGGTTTTTTAATATAACATCATTTTTTTATAGTATTTCATCACCGCTTTCTGTTTCTGCTTAAAGGTTAGCTGATATAAAATGCAATATCTCTTTTGTACAACTTTTAATATATAATAAAGAAAAAAGAAATAAATTGCCCACTCAATTTATTTTAAGTGTTACTAAAAGTAAGATGTAGTCTAAACAAAAATGAACTCTATGTGAATAATCTATAAAACTATAATCGAAAAATCGACAGCGTATATATTCCTTAATAATAACAACCATGTGTGTTAAAATTATGACATTCACTTTTAATCCTACATGCATTCCTTAATACCAACTATCGATCACGGTAATCGATTAGTTTTTTCAATAAACACATCCCCCGTACTCGATACTAATACCTACTATAATTATTCGAATACAAACAAGCTAACATCAATGTTAATAGTTTTTATGGGCCCTTAATGTTGTATTACGATATAACGGGAGATTAAAAAAGATAAAATATTTCACAGATGCGTAGTCCGAAAGCTGTTATTATGTGTTACTTTTAATTTATGCATTGACGGTATAATTATCCCAAGTATTTGTGAGTTGTGTGTTCTTTAAAACGTCAAATGTAGAGAGAATTACACAAAATGACGGTTATGTTAATGATTATTTATTGAGGTTAACAATAAGTTTCCCTTTTCCAAGAATTATTTTTGAAAACTGTCGGTCTATTTAAGACTTTTGGATACAATTTTTATTTAAAAAAAAACGGAGTCAATATCAATCCCATATTTTATATGTAATTCGAATAGCTTAGCAGGTGACTGCTGGCTCACCTAAGTAGTACATAATCGTCGCCTGTACACATGAACAGCACTACGAACGTCACGTCATCATGTGATACTACTCATGCTTTATCATTTTGGAGGTTGAAGAAGTCATGCCTCCTAGCCAGTATTTTAAGGCTCGGCAACGCACACGTCACTGGTGTATCAGGCGTCTATAGGCTACAGTAACAGACCGAAGGGCCGTATATTTGTTTACCGAAGTCGTAGTATAAAAAAAATACTGCCCTATCTAACCAACCTACCAAATGACATTATAGATAAGCTGCTTGGCGGCTGAAATAGGTGAGTCAAACTTTTTATAAAGACTCATTTTTAAAAAACTCCGGATATCGTTAAAATGTCACTTACCGGAGCCACTTGCAAACAGGAGGTCCCTGTGAAGGGAAGACGTCTTCAGGTAGGGGTAAAACAGCTTGCTGATGTACTGTGGACTCGGGGTTACTGCAAATAATACATAGTCATATAGTATACTAGTTTATTTCCGCGGCTCTAGCCACGTGGATTATATCTAGTATTATAGATATAATCCACGTGGCGTATGTAGATTTTTAGTATTTGCTAATAATGTACTGGAGAAATATTGAGAAGAATAAGTCCTCTTATATATTGCTTAGTTTTGTGAGTTTCTTTAACTATACAGTGAAATAAACAAAAAAATTTATAGTTACTATAAGAAAGTACAAAATATATACGAAAGATGTCAAATCATTGCATAGTATAAAATAAAGTCGCTGTCGCTGCCTGTCCATCCCTATGTACCTAAGCTTAAATCGTTAAAACTACGCAACGGATTTTTAAGCGGTTTTTTTAATAGATATAGTCATTCTAGAGGAAGGTTTATATATATAATACATGTACACCCGTGCGAAGCCGGAGTAAGAAGCTAGTATTATATAAATAACAGTTCTTAAAAAATAACCTCAACCCAACAACGCTCTCCTCTTAGTAGTTGGTTGAAAATAAATAAAAACATTAATAAATCACAACACACAAACGTTCCAATCGGATTAAGAACCTACTCAATTTTTGAATATGTTAAAAGGACAATAATTTTCACTTCACATATTTTTTTTAATCAATCCGAGTTGGCCAGTTGCGATTATAATCGATTATTTGGCGTGTGTCACTCGATTTTCCATAGACTCATTGACTTCTACATGGTGTACGGATTAAATTATGGACATTTCATACGCGATGTGTTGACATGTTTAATAAATTTTCCGTATATTTGCACATTTTGCTTTTTTTTACGTTCTCAAGTAACTAACAAAAGAAAGCTTTTCGATACATTTTTTTATAATGCGCACATTAAAATTGATTGATTAACAGGATTTAATCTCGTTTTATAAAGTACAAAACTATAGTGACAATATTAAGTAAACTGAAGAACAGAGGGAAGTTGCCCTTAAGCAGATGTTTTTTTTTTAATCCTTGTAGGTAAAGTTACAAAAACTCATAAAACAAAAACAGTACAGGCATGTTAACAGAAAATATACAGTAAAAATAAATTGGATCACACAAGGTTGTAATTTTTACAAAAGAATTAGGAACACAGAAATAAATATTAATAAATTAGTTAAGTTACTCTAGAAATGACCAAACGTTACTGATAAACTATTAAAACAATCAAATTTAAAAACTATATTCGCAATTACGAGTATATTGGTTTTAGTCATTAGTACTATTTTTATATAAATACTAATCAATATTTTGGTATTTATAACTGATAGCAGTCTGTTATATTATAATAATAAAATATTTATTTGCATAAATACTATATTATTCTACATGATTCATATCGTTCTAAATTTGAATTTAAATTTAGTAACGCATTCACGACAAACTACTCGTTAGTCAGTCAGTATGGTCACGAGGCCGCGGCTAGTGCAACCTAGTCGAAACGTCGAGACAGATAAATACCTTATTTGCCATAAAATTATTCCTATTAAAACTCGTTTAACTATATTAATAATGTAAAACTAATAACTTAATTTAACGCAGTCGGAGAAAAAGTAATTGTGTTGTTGAAACTGTGTACTGTCTCGTCTTACCGTCCACGTTTCGGAAAGGATTTCTCGGGGAGGTAGGGGGTAGCCACCGGGCGGGTGGAGGTATGCAAGGAGCGCGCGGGGCTGCGCGATTTTTAACCCAAGACCACGTGTCCGACACGTGCGTGAAAACTTTTCGGCGAAGTTTTCTCGTACCACGTGACTTTACAATTCAATCTTATATTTATATGCGAGTATTAGTCTATTCTTTTATTTTTTGCCCTACAGAGCACGCAACTTCATACACTAGTATTAGAAATGATACTATTAATGTCGACAGCAAATTCTTTATCTCGTTTGAGACTAATGTATGTAATATAAGTAACGTTATAGCATATATATATATATTGGAATTATATAAACTCGGAGGAGATTATCCATATTCGCAACACAGTTTAAAATATCTTTGAATGTCATCGTTCTTCAATAATTTTGTACACATGTTTCTGTTTTGAAAATAAATAAATAAATTTATGAGCCAATTGTAATAAAACTAAATTTCAAGCGAAAGTTACTATTAGCACATACAACCGCTTTTTATATAAAAGCCATGAAATTAATTTCAATTAAAGAAAAAAAGAAATTAAACTTATTTCCTTTCTTTTAACAAGGTACATCATTATTGATTCAAATGCACAAAAAATAAATCACAGTTAGAAACAACAAAAGTTATCAAATTTTTAAATGTAACTGATCGCTGTTTGTATATGTAAGATATATGAGAATTAAACTATTACAGAACTAAGTATTATTGTTAAACTTTATCTACATTTTGTATTTCTCTATATGTCCAAATACAATTTATTTTAGTAAGAAACTTACTTTTATTACCTATATAATCGTCATTTTTAACCCTTTATATTTATGTTACTATAGATTATAATACCGATTAAATAATAAGAGACCATTGACAAAAATGTGTTACAACTATATGACAGCAGTTATTTCAAGTACTACCCCATCTGAGGTTATTGATATTAAAAATTAAAAGCAAGTCTATTAGTTCCGAATTTCGGAATAATCATTATCATTGATTGTCATGAGCCGTGTCTGATGTACATGAAAATTGTTGATTATCATCATCAAATTTCACCCATAGACGGAAATTAGATTTAACTAGCTAAGCCTGCGACTTCGTACCCGTAATCTTTAGAATAACGGAATATTTTCAAAAATATTTGTAATATGACGAGTTTAATTTTTGTTGTGAACCAATTGGAATCAATTAAACACTAAAGATTAGGGATCTAACGAAACACTAAGAATCAGCTTGCAACACATTGGTGACAGCTCGCTACATACTGTATTGAAAACAGTTAAGTTGTTTCTGAGATTTGCAATACGTGTACAAACGTAGAGGCAATACTTCTAAAATCTATACATCGATCGTTACGTACAACTTGGTCAAATTGTTAAGTGAAAAAAAACATTTTATAACTAGTTGTCGTGTAGCAACACGACAACTAGTTATAAAATGTTTTTTTTATGCCATAATAGTTCTTTTTTATTCCAACCGTTTTACAATGATAACATTTAAATAGGATGAAACCGCGTTCTTGACTAGTCGTAATTTATTTTTTATACACAAGTACTTATGAGAAAGATATGACGTTGTACATCTAAATTTGCAGAATTAGACTTTAAATTTAAATCTTTAGAGTGGATTTTCCAAAATTTGTTATTATTGAGTTAATCCAGTTTTGTATTGGGTGTGCGTATGATTATGCAGATGTCTAATATATTTCTGAACAATGCATCCATAGAGGAAACCGTTTCGCAATCAACATATAAACTAAACCGTATCTAGAAAATTCTTAATTGAACTAATGAGACGTAATTACAATTTTTATTGCAGCCATAATGATTACGATGCCTTAAAATAATAAAAGCAATTAGACATTGATGGGCGTAGCGGAGTCGTTACATTCGTCCCTCTCTCTCTTACGACCGATAGATTGGGTGTAAGTAGTAAAGAACAATATGATTAGATGTAATTGTTCGAACGGTTATAAAAGTTGATGTCAGAGACTGTATTCTGTTTGTCGTAAAACGTCGAGATGTTTCCATTTCCAGCAATTTACTGTTAAAAAATAAAAAACATTATTTTTATTTATAGGTACATACCAATCGAGAAATAGTATCCTATAGGCTATATATTATGTTAATGTATATTTATATACATAAAATTACAAAGTTATGAGTAACCCGCACGAAGAAAGGACGAACTCCTAGTATATAAATATTACGTTTTTTTATACTGGCATAACTAACACATATAGAAAACTGAAACCAGTGCAGTATATTTATGAATAAGTATATTTATATAAGATCTTGCGGGGTTCGAACTCGCGACGTCCGAAGAAGACGCTGTCGTATATTGACCGCTATGCCATCAAGGTCGTGAAATAGAATCAAACATATTATTTCGACTATTTGTTGCAAGTATGTAAATTATGTAGGTATGAAACTGGTTAAACGGCAAACTCCTACGCACAGTGCTTCGCGTGTACAAACGCTATACTTGACATACTGTTATTGTATTACAATTATTTTAATTACTATCCACTGGCTGATGATTACATATATAACATATAAAACACAGAAATATAACTATATATAGGTCATTTTATATTATAATAAAAATAAAATTATAATATTAGAAATATCTACAAGGAACTGTTCTCCATTATTTAGATTATTAAAAATACTTTATAGTAAAAATTAAAACTCAAAGCGTAACTACTAACTACTGTATAAAAAAAATATAATTATGAATATTTAAATGTAAAACAATTATTATTATTACTATTAATTGACATTGATTCAAATGTACTAAGGGAACTATCGAAGTAAACTTTACACAAAGTTACCCACTTCCAGCTACTAACTAGATTACTTTGTAGGTTGTGTTTTGGTTGAAATGTGAGACCTTGCAATGATATTACAGGGTAAATATTAACAGTACGTACAGAATAGAACTGAAGATGAAGTACTGTTGAACTGCTGCACATATATGGCAGCGAAATTATAGGGTACACCTAGATTAAGACCGATAGTCATGTATACAATTTACAAATGTAATGCATTGTATGCGAATAGAACTGAGAATCTTCGGTAGGTAGAGCTAAACCGCTCCACAGATATGGCAAAAAAATTATAAGGTACACCTAGACTAGTACAAACAGTCATGTATGTATATATATATATATATACAAATGTAATATCAATAAATGTTTTTCTTTCTTTCTTTCTTCTATATATACAAATGTATCGCATTGTGTGGGAATCGAACGAAGAATCAGTGAAGGTAAAGCAGAGTGGTAAATTTGCTACCAGCGAAGTCATCAAAATAATTGTAGAGTGTTACAAGAAAGTTGGTGTTACAAACGATAT